TTATCATCCACTTTTTAAAGCCTGCTTCTGCTAATGGAACACAGTCTTTCTCCATCAGGCCTTGTTCTGTTTCTCATGAGGAACTGTGATCCCCTGTAGAGAGAGAGGCGTTCTGATTTTGGGTATTCTCAGCCTTTTTAGGCTGTTTTCTTCCCTTCGTTATAGATTTATCCATCTGTGGTCTTTATAATTACCGTCTTTATAGTTGGGTTTCTGAATGGACGTCCAACTTGTTGATTCCCGGTGCTAGAATCTGAGCAACCCACTGTGCCGGCCAAAACAGCGGCTTTAAGATTGACGGTGCTTTTCTGACTCTGCACCAAGAACCGCGGCACCAAGGCAGCGGCAAAACCGCCTCACCGGCCTCAAGAGTCACGCTGGCGACACGTGGGGCTCCTCCGCTGGGAATCTCCTGGTGTGTGAGCAACAAAAATTGATCTGAAAGTGTGGCGTCCTCTCGTTCTCTGCTCTTTTAGTGGGAGCTGCAATCCCGAGCTGCTAGTGATCAGCCAGCTGGGATCTCTCTCCCAAACTTTTTAATTTCAGGTAATCCGCCCGCCTCGGCCTCCCAAATTGCAGAGATTATAGGCGTGAGCTACTGCGCCCAGCCCTGGGTCTTGTTTTCTGACTTACTATAAAATTTTATGGTTTTCTTATAAATCTCTACCTTTCCAGTAAATTTATTTCTAAATACTCTATAGCTTTTGTTTGTCACTCTTGTGACTGGGTTATACTTCTTCCCATTTCCACTTCTGATTGGTTCTTGTTAATGTCATGCAGAGCGATTAGTTTTTAAATATTTTCTTTTGCCATCACCTTACCACATTTTTGTATCAGTCTTAGTAATTAATGTTTCCACTAGAGTCTGCTTGCAATTGGTTCTTTTACCTCTCTTCCACTATTTATGCCAACATAGACTAGTTATTTTAATTTCATTCTACCACGAAGTAGGACCAATGAAAGCTAGAACAGAGGTGATAGCAGGTGCTCCTGTTTCTCCCGTTTTAGTAATTGGCTTCAGCGTTTCCTCATTTAACGGGAAAGTGGCTCTTGGTTTCTGGTGAGCAGTCTTTGCAAGGCTGCGTGCTCTGGAGTCCACATTCACAGGACTCTTCCTGGACCCCATGTAGGCTGCTTGGTGCTATGCTAGTGCCTGCTGGGTGTGGACTGCTGCTGAATTTGGTCAGATGCCATATGATTTTTCTCTTTAAGATGTTACTATTATAATTGCTGTGTTGACAGATTTTTCTGGTTTTGAAATACCTTTGCATTTTGTCAATTTTGCCACAGTGTATTTTCATCGTGTTTAGAACATTTCTAAATTTCTAAATTCTAATTTCTAAATTTCTTTAGAATATTTGCTTCCATATTTACTACATGGAGCTGGTCTATAGGTTTCTTCCTATAGACTGTATTTTGGAGACTATAGACTCCATAAGACTGTATTTTGTCCCATCTAAGATTTGCTGTCACCAGCACTTTGTGATGATTCCAGGGTGGTCTGCAGAAGCTTTTCGTTCGCTCTCTCACGCTGCCAGCTCACAACAGGGATGATGAGATGGACCCGGATTTTAGAAACAATGAAATGTGGAGTGTGTCCATGAAACAGCATTCAAAGGATGACTTAGAACTCACTGGGCCTGTGGCTTTTCTCTGTGAAACATCTGTAGCTTCTTTCCATAGTGGGTCCGTTTGAAAGTGGGGTCTGTTAAGTAGTACATGGTAACTGTTTAATGGACCTGTTAATCTCTTCCCCATCTGTGGTGGTTATGTCTCCTTATAAGTTCATGTATTTTTTTGACTGTTCTGTTTGTATTCAATATTATGCATCTCCACTTTTCTCTTTAATTATCTCATGGCTTTTATTTGAACCTTTTCCTCATTTATTAAGTTGAATAGAGAGTTCACTTATTTTTAGTTGGCTTTTTAATAGTAAAAGAATTTAAAGCCACATATTCATTCTGAGTATCACTTCCAGCCCTATCCTTAGGTTTTTTTTTCCCTCTGACTTTTCAAGTCATAGACTTCTCTCTGTTACAGTTAATTGAGGCATAATTTACATATCCTAAAATTCACTCATTGTAACTGGAATATTTAATTATTTTAGCAAATATATAGCGTTGTGCAACCATCACGACAATTCTGTTTTAGAATGTTTCCCAACATCCTCCAAAAGTTACCCTGTACCCATTCACCACGGATTTCCGCGCCCAGCCCAGCTGCAGGCACCCACTGATCTGCTTTCTGTCTCTAGACTTACTTTCTTCCGGACATTTCCCCTCAGTGAAATCAGACAGTAGGTGGTCTTTTACATCTGGTGTAACGTTTTTGAGGTTCATCTGTGTTGAGTAGTTTTTTTTAATGCTGAATCATGGTCAGCTGGATATACCACGTTTTGTTTATCCGTTCACCATTTTGGGCTATTTCTTACCTAGTATGAATAACAGTGCTGCTGTGAACATTTGCGTAGAAGTCTCTGTGAGCATATATTTCATTTCTCTTGAGTAGATACCTAGGAGTTGAATTCCTAGCTTGTATGGTAAGTTTATGTTTAGCTTTTGTTTGTTTTTTTAAATGGAGTCTCTTTCTTTCGCCCAGGCTGGAGTTCAGTGGCGCGATCTTGGCTCACAGCAACCTCCACCTCCTGGGTTCAAGTGATTCTCCTGCCTCAGCCTCCCAAGTAGCTGGGATTGCAGGCATGTGCCACCATACCCAGCTAATTTTTGTATTTTCAGTAGAGACGGGGTTTCACCATGTTGGCCAGGATGGTCTCAATCTTCTGATCATGTGATCCACCTGCCTCCCGCCTCCCAAAGTGCTGGTATTACCGGTGTGAGCCACCGCACCCGGCCATGTTTAGTTTTTTAAGAAACTGCCGGCAGGGCACAATGACTCACGCCTGTAATCCCAGCACTTTGGGAGACCGAGGCGAGAATATCACAAGGTCAGGAGATCAAGACCATCCTGGCCAAAAAAAGAAAAAGAAGACCATCCTGGCTAATATGGTGAAGCCACGTCTCTACTAAAAATACAAAAAAAGTAGCCAGGTGTGTTGACACGTGCCTGTAGTCCCAGCTACTCAGGAGGCTGAGGTAGGAGAATCGCTTGAACCCAGGAGGCGGAGGTTGCAGTGAGCCAAGATGGCACCGTTGCACTCCAGCCTGGGCGACAGAGTGAGACTCCCATCTCAAAGAAAAAAAAAAAACAAGAAACTGCCAAACTGTTTTCCAAAATGGTTGCACTATTTTACATTCCCACCAACAACGTATGAGGGTTCCGGTGTGTCTGGAATATTCTTGCCAGTATTTATTACTGTCTTTTTGATGATAGCTTAATGCTCGTGGGTGTGTAATGCTGTCTCACTGTGGTTTCAATTTGCATTTTCCCAGTGACTGGAAATGTTAAGCATCTTTTCATAGGCCTGCTGGCCATTTGTCTGTCTTCTTTGATGAGATGTCTGTTTGTATCTTTTGTCTATTTTTAAGTTGGCTGTCTTCTTGTTGAATTGTTAACAGTATGTTATCCCAGATATGAGTCCTTTATCATAAAATAAAATACAACAAAAATAAATTATTATAGAAGTGAAGTGCCAAATATACCACACTGTTTTATTATCAGTCAGTAGGCATGAGATTACCCTGTTACGTCGATATGAAAGTTTTGAAACACTTATTCTCAATTTCTGTTATTCATTATAAATCTTCAGATTTGTCTCTATGTGTTAAACCCTTCTTCTGAGCTTTTAATTTGAGGGGTTTTTTTTTCATTTGTGAAAGTTCTGTTTGGTTCTTTTTTCAGTCTGCAGGGCCATTTAAAAATATTTTCCTATTCTCTTGAACATACCATCAAAACGTCATTTCTTTAAGTAAACGCAGCTGTTTTATAGCCTGTGTCATGTCATACCACCATCTGAGGTGTTCGTCACATTTTGTTCATAACGTCTTATTTCCTAGTGTACCTGATTTAATTGTATACTGGTCATTGCATTCCAATATTTGAAATAAATCAAAACCTAGAATCAAAGTGTCTTCCTCAGTAGGGATTTGTTTTTACTCTGCCATACACCTGGAGGCACTGCCAATCTGGGAGTGCCTTAAACCTCAACACTGGATTCTTAAATCAGCCAAAGTTATTCTGCAGTATATCCCACTTACCCCCCTGCGGTTCCTGTAAACAGAAACCTTTGTTTGGCTGCAATACATCGGAGGCAATGCTTTATAACTTAGGAGATAGTGTCATTGTGAGGGACGCATAACTCTGGTTGCCTATCATTAGAAGTGATACTAAATTTTCAATTTTACTAGTGAATTCAGTTGATGACAGATTGATATCTCTATTGAACAATTACATATTTCCCTTACAATTCAAAAAGTACTAGTAATGATCTACAATGTATATTTTGGTGTCCTGCCAATGTGTATTCCCTATCAACCATATGCTAATGTCATGAAAAACAGTTGATAATCTTTGCCTGAGTCAGTAGTTTCACTAGAGAATTCAACATTTACTCCAACATTCTTCTGAAAGCAGCGATTTTTCTTACCAACCAGAGATACTTGGTTATCTTGAAATATAGCTCCTACTGAAAAAGAAGGGTAAGCTTAATTCTTTGTCTTTTATTACCAGGTCCCTCTAATAGTGACAGCTGAAGCTTTTTCTAGCTTTCTTTTTGTTTTAATGTCATTGTGGACTAATGTATTATTGTTGATTTCAGTGTGTTTTGTGTACTAAAATCATGTGAAATGATTAGTCAGTCATGTGTTCAAATGGCATAATTTCAATCATTGAGTGCCCTTTAGGGTCGCTGCTGTGTGTTTTTTTACATAGCCTCACTTATTTTTGATTCCTTGATTGGCGCAGTCTCGGCTCGCTGCAACCTCCACCTCCCAGGTTTAAGTGATTCTCCTGCCACAGCCTCCCAAGTAGCTGGGATTACAGGCACCTGCCACCATGCCCAGCTAATTGTATTTTTAGTAGAGATGGAGTTTCACCATGTTGGCCTGGCTGGTCTCAAACTCCGGACCTCAAGTGATGCACCCACTTTGGCCTTCCAAAGTGATGAAATTATAGGTATGAGCCACCACACCTGGCCAAATCAGCCATTTTTCAAAGATCCTTGGTTCTTTTCAGTGGTAAATACATTAGCAACCAAAATCTGGGTGACAGGAATGTTTATTGCTACTGGTCTCACATTACTTTTAAATGCTTTCAATGGAGGGAGCTAAAATATAAATTTTCTGAATTGTGCATTCATATTGATATTTTAAATTTAATTTTAACATTATAGTGTTTTTGAAGCAGGATATTTCCCTGACCCCTTCATGGGTGGGAACTAGAGTGCATGGGTGCTGGAACTAGCTGGCCTCTTCAGCGCCAGCAGGGGGGAACTCCACTTACTCTCTGCTCCACCTGTCATGGGATGGGGGAGTGCAGTTGAGCTGGTACAGGAGCCAGGGCGAGAGCTTTTGGGCACCAGCAGGAGCAAACCCCATACTGGCCCCATGGCAGCATCTTGGGGGGTCCCTGTGATCCCTGAAGCCCCAGAGAAAGTGTTACAGTATTCTTTCAGCTCTGCCATCTGTGGACAGCTTAAGTGTTAACAGCTCAGTGGCGGGGCAGTGTGACAGCCTTTTATACCTGCACTCATGGCACCCGAGTTCTTGTCCAGCGTCCAAGAGGAATGAGATTGCACAAACGAATTTAAGATGGTATTTTATTGCAGGGGATTTTATTGCCAATGAAAGTGGCTCTCAGTAGAAAGGGAAGCTAAAAAGGGGACAGAATAGAAAGGTCTTGCCCTGAAGTCTGGCTGGTCTCCAGTCAGATTCTTCTCTGAAATTAAGCCATCAAGCTGTCCTTCTGAAGTCAAGCTGCTGCTTTCCAACATCCAACTGTAGTCTCTGATGTCTAGTTGTTTCTCCTCTGTCTGCCAGCTGAGCCTGGGGTTTTTACGGGCACAGGATAGGGGTGCGGGGCAGGCCATAGGTGGTTTTCATAGTTTTATCTCTGTCTTACACGGAAAATGTTGATTTCTAGCATCACTCATGTAATTATGGGTATATTGTCTTAAACAGTTCCCAAAAACAGTATTGATATTATTGCAAACAGTTGAAACTTTGACTTGAACCCTAATCATTGCAGAAAGAAACAGCTGTTGACATTTTTATTTATTTATTTATTTTAGAGATAGGGCCTTGTGATGTTGCCCAAGCTGGTCTTGAACTCCTGGGCTTAAATGATCCTCCTGCCTCAGCTTCCCAAGTAGCTGGGATTACAGGCATTCACCCACCATGCCTGGCTACGGTTGGCATTTTTATTGGGATCCTGTTACATTTTGAAAATATCTGAGAGAGGGCTGGCACCTTGTGATGTTTGCCTACTGCAAGAGTATGCTATGACTGTTTTCCAGGGCCACTCTCTTGTCCTTTAAGGCTGTTTTTAAGTTTCCCTTACTTAGTTAATGCCTAGATAATTAATTATCATTGCTGTTGTAAATGAGGTCTTTTCTTCCATTGTGTTCTAGTTACTAGTTGTTTCTTTGGAGGCTGTTGATTTGGGAGCTTGCTTTCATAACCTGCCTCCTTACTGAATTACGTCATTGTTTGCATCAGTTTTTCAGTTGATTAATTAGAGCATTGCACATAATTTCACCTCTGTTCCTAATTGTAAACTCCCATGTCTTTCTCTCCATTTGACAAATAAATTGAGTAAAATAATTTCAGTAAAATGTTACATAGTAGCAGTGAGAGTGGGCATACTTGTCTTGTTTCTGACGTTAGTGGGAATGGGAGGCATGATTTTTAGCAACTATTTTTATTTCATTCTGTGGATACCCTAGTTTTTCAGCTAATATAAATGTGGTGTTCTGTTAATCTTTTGTTATTGTTGTTCACATCTTTGAACTTTTCTTTAAGCCTGATTAAGGAAGTACTGGATCAAAAAGCAAGCATTTTCAGAAACCCTTAATAGATACTGTCCATACACTTTCCAGAGAGTAGCACCACATACTCTCCCCAGAGAGTGTATGAGATGCCTGTCATCATACCTCTTCAATGCTGAGATCGTGTGAAAGTTTTAGTTATTACGGCTGGGCATGGTGGCTCACGCCTGTAATCCCAGTGCTTTGGGAGGCTGAGGCGGAAGGATCACAAGGTCAGGAGTTAGAGACCAGTGGCCAATATGGTGAAACCCCATCTCTACTAAAAAGTACAAAAATTAGCTGGGTATGGTGATGCGCGCCTGTAGTCCCAGCTACTCAGGAGGCTGTGACAGAGTAAGACTCTGTCTAAAAAAAAAAAAAAAAAAAGTTTTAGTTATTTTATAAGTAGAAAATGGTATTTCATATTTTTATTTTTTTAAAACAGTGAGGTTGAATGTAGCCTTCAGACCTGTTCATTGAAAGATTATTCTGAATTAAAGCCTTCATTTAACATTTTTAGACTGTAAGGTAGAAGTGTTAAATGTTAAATAAAGAGACCCTTTTTTAAAGATACTTATCAGAGGAGTAAATTAATCGTGGATTTGTTTTTTAAGGCCATTTTTAGAAAAGAAAAGACTGGGAGAAGTCAAAGTTATAGTGGAGTAATGTAGGGCTTATTATCAATTGACTAGAGACACTAGGGCAAAAGAGTTGCTGAAGATTTGGCCTTTTGTGAAAGAAGTCGTTATATTATCGTTAGAATTTACTTGAATTGTTTAAAATTGGCTTTTGAATAACAGTTAAATATTTTATATGTTTTGCTCTCTTCTTGTGCAAATACAATACTTTGCCGTCATTCAAAGCAGTTTATTTTCTATTTTTGAGACTGGGTCTCAAACTGTCACCCAGGCTGGAGTGTGATGGCACGATGTCAGCTCACTGCAGCCTGGACCTCCCATGCTCAAGCAGTCCTCCCAGCTCAGCCTTCAAAGTAGCTGGGACCACACGTGTGCACCACCATGCACAGCTAATTTTTGCATTTTTAGTGGTGACGGGGTTTTGCCATGTTGCCTAAGCTGGTCTCGAACTCTCCTGGGCTCCAGTGATCCACCCACCCCCACCTCCCAAAGTGCTAGGATTACAGGCGTGAGCCCCACTGCACCCTGCCTATTTTTGATACAATTGAAAGTCTTACCATAAAAGTAGAGGTCTGACTGCTTACAAATGAATTATGCATATATTTACAGGAGCTCTGGCTTCTTGCCTGTTAGTTGAAGAATAATAAAAATGGACTGTGTAGAAGTTATCGGAGTGCCTGCTGCTCTTCTCGTTGGCTTAGAAACAGCCGAACAGGGAACCTCTGCTTTCATTAGTCTTTTCTTCTCTCACATTTTGGATTTTTGTGTCTTCTAATGATTACCTGTGATAATGAGAGGACACAGTCCCTGGATTGTGAGGCAGTTCACACTGGCCATCTGTGCTGCTCAGAGCAAGGGGAGGTGTTCAGAGCGATGACCCAAGGTGGCCCTTGCCCTCAGGGAACCAGCGGGCCCAGAGTCACAGTGGTGGTCTAGCTTCAGCCCCCCTGAGCCACAGAGAGGCACCACCACGGCCACTCCCTCTTTGGAACCCTGGGGAACGTGTTGCCTGCCAGACAGCCTGAGCCCAGCCAGCCTACCCAGCCCCTCCAGGGTACCCCTGTCCATGGCCCAGGGGCCACACACAGGACCTTGGCCGTTACTTCATGGTCAGTGTCAGCTCTATCTGGGTGGCACCCGTGGGGTTTGGTTTCCAGCCGGCAGCTGTAATCTCAGCTCGTTACCACACACAGAGGCCGCTCCTTGGACATTCCCGTCCTCTGTCTGGCACAGCACCCTGCTGCCTCTACTCTTCAAGTGTTTCCTGAACTGCCCTGGCCCAAGCCATCCTCATGTGAAAAATATAAATATAGATATATACATGTTAAAACATATTTATTATTTTACTCATTCAAAAGTGTACAATTTAGTGGCATTAAATAATTCAAAATGCTGTACATCCATCACCACTATCTATACCCAGAACCTTGTCATCCCCAACAAAAACTCCATTAAACAGCAGGTCGCTGTCTCCCCATTCTACTTTGTGTCTCTATGATTTTGCCCATGGTTGGAGCCTCTTGTAAGTGGAATCGTACAGTATCTGTCCTTCTGTGCCTGGCTTATTTCCCTAAACATCATATCGTCCAGGTCCTCCCACGCTGTAGCATGTGCCAGACCCTCGCTCCCGTCAAAGGCTGATGCCATCCCACTGTGATGACGGACACGTGTATTCCCTCATCAGCGGATGGGCGCGTGGGCTGCAGAGCATGTCACAAACATTCACTCAGTACACATGTTAACAGTTATGTGCTTGTCTGCCTGTGTTGTCCATTCAAGCACCTGCCAAGGACCCAGGAAACACACAGTATGTCCCCGCAAAGGAATGAAAAGCCCTCCTAGCCCCTCGGCCCTCTTTCTCTGCCCCCTCCACTTTCACAGAGATGGTTGTGGTGCCACCTCTCGTGGGGTGGCCAGAATCCCAGCCAGGCACACTACCTGCTTCACCTCCCTCCACCTTGGATTTCCAGAAGCAAAATGAGGCTTCTGACTCACTTGACCTACTGTGTAGGTTTCTAAGGGTGTCAGCAAATTAAAAAAAAAATTAGCATGAAAGCACTCCAATGTATGCATACTTTTACTTCACGTTGGTTCCCTATGTTCTTAGAACAAGGAAGAAGTGTGAGCACTTACTTTGGATTGAAAGGTTTTCCAGACTAGCCGTAGGAAGTATAAAAGTAAGCCGAGGTCTCACATACAGCCCAGTTCTCTGGGTAGATTTCACTTCATCTGCTCCACTCACCTACGCCACGCTTCCCTGTGGACAAGCCCGTCCATCCTCTTTAATCACCCACAGGCCTCGCTCACACAGCAACAAGGGCCTGTCCCCGTGTCCTTGCTGTTGGCAAGCAGAAGTTCCCTGGCAGCCTTTGAATATAGCTGAATGCTAGGTATCTTTGATCTGTCTAAGGAAAAAGTCTATTTTAAACTGTGAAGTGAAGCCAATTTTTTTAGGTCAGATTCTTACCCAACAAAGCATACATCATTTATGCTCATATAATTTCCAGTTAAAAAGAAAAAAAAAAAAAAACAGTGCTGGCTAGCAGAGTGTCAGTGCACTGTGGTCATGATGTCACAGTTCTCTAGGTTCAGAACACCAGCTTCTGTTAATTGCTACACAACTTCTTCACTAAAATAGAAGCATATTTAATTTGCCTACAAAATTGCTTGGAGAGACTTAAAAAATAAAATCTTCACCTGAATGTAGAAATGAAAATTTGAAAGTTTTATTCAGAAATACTACCTAGAAATAAAATCAGTGGGATGTATTTACAGGCAGTTTGTTTTTAAGTAAAGAATAAAACAGTGACAGAGGGATCAGAAAGAATAACTCCTTTTAAAGCCAAGCACAGTGGCGTGTGCCTGACTTCTCAGCTATTCACTAGGCTGAGGAGGGGGAGAATCATGAGTTCAAGCCCAGCCTGGGCAAAATAGGGAGACCTTGTCTTCAAAAAAAATATGAAATAAAGGATTATTTCTTTTCAAACATTCATTAATGTCTAGTCCAAAGATTACTGTAGTTACAGCATTCGACGGGAGACTACTGAGCACTGTGGGCTTGCTGGCCCATTGAACTGTGGAAGGCACACTGGGCGGGCCAGGCCCAGCAGAGCGCCCTCCCTCAGTCCTCACTCAAGCCCTTCACATGCAGCCGCAGCCTCAGGAGAGCTTCAGGACACTGCCATGAGCCCAGCGCAGAAGGCGGGTAGGCGTGACCACAGGTGGTGAGTGGAAGGCGTCCACTCCTTAGCAAGTGCATCACGGGAGGCCTGGGAAGGGGTCTGTGTTCAGGAGAGTGGGGAGTGCTGTTCTTGAGACGATTTCACGATGTATCCCTCTTGATTATGTGCTCCAGGGAAGAAGTGTAAAGGGTGAAGAAGTGGTTTTGTAAGATCAGCATTGGGTGCGACTGCTTGATTCATTCATTCAGACATTTGATGGAACAGCATGCCAGCCGTTCTCTAGGAGCTGGACCGAGGGAGAGCTTGTGATCCGAGCCACAGACCAGGCGGGAAGAGGAAGCCTGCGCCGATAAGGGTCGTCTAAGCAGAGATTGCTCAGGAGGCTCTGCTGCATCTGCTCACCGCAGCTGAAAGGGTCTTTCTGTTGGCAGATGGCCTGTGTTTTCTAGTGGGACAGTGCCCACTGCTTCCTGCATTTTGCTGTGATGGCCAGAGCTGCATTTAGTTGTGTCCTGCCTCAGTCCCTCCCAAGCTCTCTCTCCCTGTCAACTTAGTGTCGGGAGTGCACTCCATATATGACGCTGGCTTCTTTTAACGTGAGGGGTTAGGGAGATCACATATATGCCTTTTTACAGGTGAGGAAAGGGCCAGCGGGAGCTTATTGAAGGCAGTCCCTCTCCCCATGCTGAGCTATCCCCTCTGTCCTGCCCCTTCCTGAGCAGGTGATGAAAATATGTCCCAGTGTGAGTGACGTGGTTGCATTTACTGAGAGTTTGTTTCATCAGTGAGGAAAGTACTCTGAAGACCAGTTGAGCCCTGATAGCTTCAATGAGCATACAGACTCAATGCAAAGGTGACAGACTTACAGAAGATTCAGGTGGTTCAGAACTGATTTAAGACAGGAAGTCAGCCTCTAATCTGTTGGTTCCATTTTTCATGCCTCATTTTGGCTAACTTTTGTTTGTGTTTTTTACGTCCCTGGTCTCGTTTATCCATCACATTCAGTCCTATGGAGCAGATTTCCTTGGTTCCCATTATAGCCCTTTCCCTGTTCTTAGCATGTGCCTAAGAGACAGTATTCATTAAGGGATTCTCCCTGCAGCAACTTAATCTATATCTCTTTTTAAAAATTATTTTTAGGCCAGGTGTGGTGGCTCATGCCTGTAATCCTAGCAATTTGGGAGACCAAGACGGGTGGATGCCTTGAGTCTAGGAGTTTGAGACCAGCCTGGACAACCCTGTCCCTGCAAAACAATTTTAAAATGAGTCAGGCATGCTGGTGGGCACCTGTTGTCCCAGCTACGTGGGAGGCTGAGGTGGGAGGATCAGTTGAGCTCAGGAGGTCGAGGTTTCAGTGAGCTGTGATCATGCCACTAGGTTCCAGGGTGGTAGAGTGAGACCCTCTCTCAGAAAAACATGTGTTTTTAAAAAATTGTTACTTTTGGCCAGGCATGGTGGTTCACGCCTATAATCCTGGAACCTATAATCCTAGATCCTCAGGCAAATCACCTGAGCCCAGGAGTTTGAGACCAGACTGGGCAACATGGTGAAACCCCATCTCTACTAAAAGTGCAAAAAATTAGCCAGGCATGGTGGCATGTACCTGTAATCTCAGCTACTCAGGGGGCTGAGGCACAAGAATCACTTGAACCCAGGAGGCAGAGGTTGCAGTGAGCCAAGATCACGCTATTCCACTTCACCCTGGACAAGAGAACAAGACTCTGTCTCAAAAACAGAATAATAAAATAAAATAATCACTTTTAATTTCAAATTACCTGTAATTGCTCTGAAAGTAATATGTGCTTGTTTTGGCAGTACTGAAAAAAACAAGGACGTTTTAGAAATAAAAAACATCCATGTGATCCTACAACCTCACTGCTGGGTATATATCCAAAAGAAAGGAAATCAGCATCTCACGGGGGCACATGCACTGCCATGTGTATTGCAGCACCACTCACAATAGCCAAGAAATGGAATCAACCTAAGTGTCCATCAATGGATGAATGACTAAACAAAATGTAGGACATATACACAATGGAATATTATTCAGCTAGGAAAAAGAAGAGAAACCTGTCGTTTGCAGCAACATGGATGGCACCAGAGGAGATTGTATTACATGAAATAAGCCAGGCACAAAGAGACAAATATCATGTGATCCTACTCATGTGGGAGGTAAAAAAAGGGATCTCATGGAGGTAGAGTGGAGAATGGTGGTTAGGGAGGCTGGGAAGGGAAGGTAGGGAGAGAAGGAGGAAGGGCTACAAAAATACAGAAGGAACAAGTGCTAGAATTCAAGAGGAATTGTAGAGGAATTGTAGTCAACAATAATTGATTATATATTTCAAAGTAGCTGGAAGAGACGGATTGTAATGTTTACAACACAAAGAAAAGGTACATGCTGGCGGTGATAGATATCTCAGTTACCTTGACCTGGTCATTACACGTTGTTAACAGGTATCAAAATATCACATGTCCCTTCCAAATATGCACAACTGTTATATGTCAACTTTCAAAAAGAGAAATTCATACCCATGCCACCCAGCGATGACACTGTGGATATTTTGAGAATGATACTTCTTATGATCATACTATTTCTGATTATATACTGCCTCTTGCACTTATATTTTCATTTTATAAATTTACAAGTATTTCTGATGGATGTAATATTTCACTAGGTATGTGGGATAATCCCTTTGGCAGAAACATAAATAAAACATGATGCTCTCAAAAAGGGTAAGTTAGAAATAAAGTTATCAAGAAGAGAAGAGACTTGTAAGACTTGTACACTGCAATCTATGAAATGTTACTGAAAGAAAAAATACACCAATCAATGGAAAAACATCTCGTTTGTGGATTGGAAGATTTAATATAGTTAAGATGTCAATAGTACCCAAAGCAATCTACAAATTCAGTGCAATTCCTATTAAAACTTTTACAACATTCTTTTCTAGAAATAGCAAAGTCCATCCTAAGATTCACAGGGAGTATCAAAGGGATAAGCAGTGTTGAAAAAGAAGACCAAAGTAAGAACTCATATATTCTGATTTTCAAACTTACAGCAAAACTACAGTAATCAAGACTGTAGTACTGGCATAAAGATGAGCCCAGAAAGAAACCCTCATATAGGGGGGTCAAATGAGTTTTGACAAGGGTGCCTAGACCATTCAGTGGAGAAAACGCAGTCTTTTCAACAAATGGGGTTGGGAAAACTGGGTACTCGCATGCAAAAGAATGAAGCGGGACGCTTACCTTCACAACGCATACAAAGATTCATCAAAATGGAGCAAACACCTAAACATAAGAGTTAAAACCTGCCTGGCATGGTGGCTCATGCCTGTAATCCCAGTACTTTGGGAGGCCGTGGCAGGTATATCACTTGAGGTCAGGAGTTCAAGACCAGCCTGGCCAACATGATGAAAACCCATCTCTACTAAAAATACAAAAAATTAGCCGGGCGTGGTGGCACATGCCTGTAATCTAAGCTACTCGGGAGGCTGAGGCAGGAGAATCACTTAAATCCAGGAGGCGGAGGTTTCAGTGAGCCCTAATCATGCCACTGCACTCCAGCCTGACTCCAGATGGAGCGAGACTCCATCTCAAAAAAAAAAAAAAAAGAGTTAAAATTGTAATGTTTGAGAAGAAAACATTGGGGAAAGATTTCCTGACACTGGATTTGACAATGATTTCTTGCCTATGACACCAAAAGCTCAGGCAACAAAAATAAAAATAAATTGGAGTACATAAAAATTTAAAACTTCTCTGCATTAAAGGGCCCAGTCAGCAAGGTGAAAGGGCAGGCCACAGAATGGGAGGAGATACTTGAAAAATCATGTAACTGATAAGGACTTAATATCCAGAATATATAGAGAACTCCTACAACTCAGCCAAACAGCTTGATTTTTTAAATGTATGAAATACTTAGAAATTTCTCCAAAAAATGTAATTTCTGCAAATTACCAATAAGCACATGAAAATATCCTCAACATCTCTATCATTAGAAAAATGAAAATCAAAATTACAATGAGATACTTCACCCCCACTAGGATGGCTACTATTAAAAAAAAAAAGAGCCAAGGCAGGTAGATCACTTGAGCTCAAGAGTTTGAGACCAGCCTGGGCAACATGGCGAAACCCCATCCTCTGTCTCTACTAAAAATACAAAAACTAGCCGGGTGTGGTGGCACGTGCCTATGGTCCCAGCTACTCAGGAGCCTGAGGTGAGAGGATTGCTTGAGCCCAGAGGGTCAAGGCCTCAGTGAGCCACGATCATGCCACTACACCCCAGCCACAGTGACAGAGCAAGACCCTCCCTGTCTCTAAAAATAAAAATAGTGCTCGCTTCAGCAGCACATATACTAAAATTGGAACGATACAAAGAAGATTAGCACGGCCCCAGCACACGGATGACATGCAAATTCCTGAAACAGTTCTATATTTTTAATAAGTGGTGTTGGAAAAACTGGATATTCATAAGCAGAAGAATGAAACTAGACCTCTCTCACCATATACAAAAATCAAATCAAAATGGATTAAGGAAATCTAAGACTCAAACTATGATGCTGCTATAAGAAAACTGGAGAAAATTTTGAGGACGTTGGTCTAGGCAAAAATTCCTTGAGCAATGCCCCACAAGCACAGTCAACCAAAGCAAGCAGGGACAAATGGGATCACATCAGGTTACAAAGCTTCTGCACAGCAAAGGATACAATCAGTAAAGTGAAGAGACGACCCAAAGAATGGGAGAAAATATTTGCAAACTACCCATCTGACAAGAGATTAATAACCAGAATACATAAGGAGCTCAAACAACTCTATAGGAAAAAAAATAATCTGATTAGAAGATGGGCAAAAGATTTGAGTAGACATTTCTCAGAAGACACACAAATGGCAAACAGGCATATGAAAAGGTGCTCAACATCATTGATCATTAGAGAAATGCAAATCAAAACTACAATGAGATATCATCTCACACCAGTTAAAATGGCTTATCCAAAAGACAATAACAAATGCTGGAGGGGATGTGGGGAAAAGGGAACCCTTGTACACTGTTGGTGGGAATGTAAATTAGTATAACCACTATGAAGAACGTTTTGGATGTTGCTCAAAAAACTAAAAATTGAGCTACCATATAATTTAGCAATCCCACTGCTGGGTACGTACCCAAAAGGAAGAGAATCAGTGTGTCAGAGAGGTATCTGCAGTCCTATGTTGGTTGCAGCACTATCGACAATAGCTAAGATTTGGAAGCAATCTACATGTCCATCAACAGATGAATGAACAAGAAAATGAGATCCAGTCACTTTGCAACATGGATGGAACTGGAGATCGTTATGTTAAGTGAGATAAGCCAAGCACAGAAAGACAAACATCACATGTTCTCACATATTCATGGGATTTAAAAATCAAAACAGTTTAACTTATGGACATAGAGAGCAGAATGGTTACCAGAGACTGGGAAGAATAGTGGGGGGTGGGGGGGGCTGGTCAATAGGTAGAAAAAAAGTTAGAATAAATAAGACCTATTACTTGATAGCACAACAGGGCATCTATAGTGAACAATAATTTAATGGAACATTTTCAAATAACATTAAGAATGTAATGGGATTGTTTGTAACTCAAAGGATAAATGCCTGAGGGGACAAATACTCCGTTCTCATGACGTGCTTCTTTTACATTGCATGCCTGTATCAAAACACCTGATGTGTCTCTTAAATGTATACACCTATGTACCCACAAAAATTAAAAATAAGTTAAAAAATAAGTGTTAGTGTCCTCGTGGAGAAATTGGAACTGTTGTGTGCTGTTTTGTCTCCTGTTTGAGATGGAGTCTCGCTCTGTAGCCCAGGCTGGTGTGCAGTGACATGATCTTGGCACACTGCAGCCTGCCTCAGCCTCCCGAGTAGCTGGGACTACAGGCATGCAGCATCAGGCCCGGCCCATTTTTTTATTTTTAGTAAAGATAGGCCTTCACCATATTGGCCAGGCTGGTCCCGAACTCTTGACCTCAAGTGATCTGCCTGCTTCGGCCTCCCAAAGAAAGTGCAGGGATTACAGGTGTGAGCCACCACGCCCAGCCCCATGGACTATTAGTGCGAATGTGAAATGGTGCAGCCACTGTGGAAAACAGTATGGCAGTTCCTCAAAATATTACAGATATGCCTCAAAATTATGTATAGTTATTATGCATCAATTAGAAATAAACAGAATGGGAAAGAAACAAAAATGGAACTAGCTTTGGTATACACCTCAAAGAACTGAAAACAGGGGCATCAGCAGGTACTTGTAGACCCATGTTCATAGCAACACTACTCACAGTGGACAGAAACTGTAGTCTGTACCAGTGGAATATCATTTGGCCCTTTAAAGGAAGGAAATTCTGACACTTGCTACAACATGGATGAACCTTGCAGACATTATGCTAAATGAAATATGCCAGTCCCAAAAGGACACATGCGGTAAAATCCCCTTATGTGAAGTACCTAGAGTAGACAAGTTGGTAGAGACTGAAAGTGGAATGGTGGTTGCCGGGACTAGGACGGGGAATGGAGTTACTGTTTAATGGGGATGGAGTGTCTGTTCTGCAAGATGAAGAGTTCTGTGGCTGGCTGGTGGCGAGGGCAGCATGATGCTGAATGTGTTGTGTGCTGAAAACCAGTGAAGATGGTAAATTCTGTGTTTATGTGTATTTTGGCACAATTTTTATTTATTTTTTGTTTTTACTTTAAGTTCTGGGATACATGTGCAAAACGTGCAGGTTTGTTACATAGGTATACATGTGCCACAGGGGTTTGCTGCACCTGTCAATCCGTCATCTAGTTTTTAAGCCTGGCATGCATTCAATATTTGTCCAAACGCTCTCCCACCCCTTGCCCACCACCCCCTGACAGGCCCAGGTGTATGATGTTCCCTTCCCTGTGTCCATGTGTTCTCATTGTTCAACTCCCACTTATGAGTGAGAACATGCAGTGTTTGGTTTTCTGTTCCTGTGTTAGTTTGCTGAGAATGATGGTTTCCAGCTGCATCCATGTCCCTGCAAAGGACATGAATGCATCCTTTTTTATGGCCACATAGTATTCCATGGTGTATATGTGCCCCATTTTCTTTATTCAGTCTATCACTGATGGACATTAGGATGGGTTCCAAGTCTTTGCTATTGCAGATAGTGGCACAATTTTTCAATGATTGTTTTTTACTCAATTATAATAACATTATTAACTCCTTGTATTTATAGCATTTATATTTCCTTTTGCTTGCTTTTGCAGGGAACATACAGAAATTTGATTTTAAGGCTGGGCACGGTGGCTCATGCCTGCAATCTCAGCACTTTGGGAGGCTGAGGCTGGAGGACCATTTGAGCCCAGGAGTTAAAGACTATTCTGTGCAACATTGTAGAAATCTCATCTCTACTGAAAATGAAAAAACAATGAGCAAGTGTGGTGACACAGGCTGTGGTACCAGCTATGCAGGAGGCTGAGGCAGGAGGATCACTTGGGCCCAGGAGGTCGAGGCTGCAGTGAGCAGAGATCATACCACTTCACTCCAGCCTAGATGACAGGGCAGGACCCTGTCTCCAAAAAACCAAACCACAGAAATTTGTCATTTTTAATATAAGCGCTATCCCTGAGGGGTTTGTTCAGAGGTATTTAAGTGTTCTTTTTTTTTTTTCGCTTGAGAATTGATTATTTACTTTTTCTTCTAAAAGTTATAGGATTTGGGGGGTATGGTTTTGATTTATTTTTATTTAACTGTTTAAGCCATCTCAAATTTTATTTTGGTGTGATGTTAAAAGACTTAAATTGCCTTTTTTCTGCATATAGTTAATCAGTTGTCTGCCCCAAGATTGCCAACCACTTATCTAATTCTTCCTTCCACTTATTTGAGATACATTCTTTATTACAATATTACATTTGTATCAACATAGTTCTCAGTTTGGGGCTGTGGCTTCTGTTCCATTCATCTGCCTCTTTCGCCCCGTCACACTGTCATTAATCCCACAGCTTCATAGTTGGTAGGACTAGCCTTTCTCATTAGTAGTGTTCTCATTCTTCTTTTTCTTTTATTTTTGCAGGTGAACTTTAGAATCGTTTTGTTAAGTACCTGGAAAAATAGAGGTCCACCTGAATTTTAACTGGAAATACTTTAAACCTGTCGATCAGTTTGGGGGAAATTATCAGTGTATCTACAGTATTTATATTTCCAATTCAGAAGTATACCTTACCTTTATTCAAATCTTTTTTTCTTCTCTCATATTATTTGTTTATTTATTTCTATCTTAGAGTCTGTTTTATCAGTGATGGCCAGATCAGCTTTGGAGTTCTTTAAAGAACCACTTTACATGCATAAGGTTTCAAAACAGCATGGGGTAAATCACTAATAAAGGCGAGATCCTTTGATCTGAGATCATTAGGAAAAATACATCAAAAACTGCCTTCACTGTTTGACTCCTATTCCGTATATGATATATAAAGCTCTTAGGAGCCTTTTCCCCTTATTTCTGTATTCCCATTCATCAGCAGTCTTAGGACAGGCACATTTTTTCATCTTATCGTGTATGAAATATTAAATCATTGGAGGGCAGGTTTCTGTCTCTTTAAAGCCCAGATCTTCAATGAGCATCTGCTCCTGGCTCCTTCCTAAGCCCCTGAACACCTCGTTCGTAATTGTGGCTGAGTTCATCTGGCATCACTCGGAGGAGGAGGCGGCCGGGGTGTGTGGCAGTGAGGGTCGGCGTCAGTGCTTCATAGTGGTCATTGGTGTGCCCTCCAGACAGACAACCCAGAGGTCAGCAGTGAAGGCTCAGAGGCAAGAGGGCAGCTAAGATCTAAATTCCTGTTACCCAGCTGAAAGCACGTGCCCCCCCTCCTTTTTTTTTAAACTTATATTTGCTGTTCAGATAGCAGCGAAGCCAGGGCAGGTGTGAGGCCGGCATCCTGCTCAGGTGGCGCGGTGCCCACTGCCCTCCTGCTAGAAATCAGATCATCTCCTAGCCAGCCATGGAATCCAGCAGTGTCTATCAGCTCTGGGGAAAGAGGGGGAAGGGTGGGATCTGGCTTGCTTTTATCTATTTATTTACTTTAATTGCTATTGATACACATAATGAAAGCTCCGTTCCTTCTTGTGAGGCAGTCCTGAAAGGTGGCAGCAGTTCCCTTACTCACTGAATGCACCTGGCGCTGAACCCGCAGCTGGAACCTCGAGCCCTAGCTGTGTTTCAGGTGTTTCTTACTCGCCTATGAATGATGTTTAGGAACTAAAGGGCTTTTGCATTGTTCACAAGCGGGGAAAAGGGTGGGGGAGTTGTGTGAGGGGAGCCATGGTTTGGACAAACTTTCTTGTTGGTGTGAAGAAAGGAGGAATTTTTTTCAGTTCGGCCTGCCAGAGAGGCTTTTCTTATAGTTTGTTTTCATTTGGAACTACTAATAACACTGATTTTTGTAGGGAATCATCTCATCGCACCCCCTCATGGGATCCTACAGTACTCCAGAAAGAATGTTTTTCTCCTTGGAATAGCTTTTTACAGTAACCTTTTTCGAAGATAGAAAATTAAGATCTGAATAGTAGCTTTTAATAATAGCCCCATAAAAATAAGTGAAGTATCTTTAAATTTAAACAAAATATCTAAAACTTAAAAAGTATTTAATATGTCAGCATCTTTGCAATGCAAAAATAACCATGCTGCATTTTATTTTATGCCTTTTGCTCCCACGGCGAGGTGATATAAATACTTCAATTTGTTTCACTTTCAAGCTATCGAATATAAAGCACCTTTCATTTTCCATGTAAGTTTTTAAGCTTAATTTTTTCAGGAAAAAAAATAGATCTCAAGAAAAAAAGTGTTTGGGATCATAAGTTAATAACTTGCCCTGTAGGTAAGGAAAGCTGAATAAGAGTCCAAACTAATGGATTAGAATTGTGTAATATTTGAATAGCCATTTGTAAAAAATAAAATAAAAAAATAAAACAACTTGCTTGCCAGAATCCTACATAAGATGCAGATATTAAAATAATTAGAACTAGAAAGTGGAAGTTGCACAGGTGGGTATAAAATGAATGTGGGCTCCCTAACTGGGAAATGCTAAAGTTCACGCAGACGTATACACACTTTTTTTTTTTTTTGGTAGCTCCCTCAAAGTCATTTGTTTATAGTCTGGCCAGGGTTGTGGCCTCCAGTCCTTTCCCCTAAGAGATGGGATCTTTGCCTAAAAGTTCCTGAGAAACGAAGACTGCAAAAAGCCGGAAAATGTCCAAGCTTTTAATGCACACTGACAGCCAAACAGAACGCTCTTTCCGTTTGCAGTTTTTTTTTTTTTTAGTGTCATTTTAAGTTGCAGCTTCCGGCCAATCAGCGAGCTTCATGCCTGCTGACATCACGAACCAGCCAGTTCCCTCCAGCTGCAGAGAGCTTCAGTTTGTCTTTTTTTTTTAAACTAAAATGGAGGCTGGTTTCTTGCCTTAAGGAGCCCATTGCCTTTCCCGCTGAAGTCTAGATGTTGACATGTAATAAAGCGGGCAGCAGGATGGTGGTGGATGCGGCCAACTCCAATGGGCCTTTCCAGCCCGTGGCCCTTCTCCATATTCGAGGTAAGTTATTGTGTGTTTCACTGAATCGGAACCTTCCGTGGGTAGTTAATAAATGGCTATTGTGCTTCCGATAAGAAAAGCAGGAAGTCCTTTCTAGCAGAATTCACCCCTTTACGCTGCAGACTTAACCAGAGGAGGCTGGGTGTGTCACTGCAGTTTGGCATTTTACGAACTACTTACAGAATTTGAGGCTTGAAAGAGGCCTTGCATGCATAGTTCAAAGCTGGTTTTTCTGCTTTCTGCTCGCTCTCCCATCCCCCTTTCAAAGCCGTGCTGATGTCAAAGGATGTGAAGTCACTGCCCAGGGAAGGTATTGGGTGGGGGTAGGAAGGAGAGGCGGGCCGTCGCGCCGGGCCAAGTTGTCCGTACGGAGTTTCTTTTACATCTGTGTTGCTTGGTGCTGCAAAGGTTTTGTGGAGGACACGTCTCTGAATTAAAGATGAATTGCAGTCAGAAAATATGCACAATTCATTGGGAACGAACTTCCTTTAAAAGGGTTGTTTTCATTCTTGCCATGGAGCCTGAAAGAGAAATATGCTCTACTTTGAAATATTGAAATCTATTGTGGGTCATAATTTTTGAAATGTTAGCATTTTCGTGGACTGTTAGCAAATATTTTGCATTTAAATGGTCTCTGTATTGCCATTTGACTTTAAAAATTTTAAATGGCAACAAGTTTTCAAGGTGTATAGAAATCACTGTTTTAATAATTAGTCTGTCTCTTTTTATGCATATTTTGCATTCAAAACTTAGCCTAAAAGCACAGTTACTGTAGTAATTAGTGGTTACATTAAACTATAGGTATCAGGGTAGCAGCTTACTTATTCTTGGTATTTTAAGATATATGAATTTTTCTGGTCATAATTGGGTGAAGTAGAAAAATGGTTTTAAGCTTCATCAGATGACTTTAGAATTTATAGTATCTGAGCTGCGCCCCAACAAAACAGTTTCTCAGAATCTCTTTTAAGGACATGTTGAAGGAAGGGTGGCAGCAAGGTTTCTAGGTGACTAACAGTCTCTATGACTAGAATGCCAGACAAGACTTTTCAGATCCTAGGGTGTACCCAGGGATGATAAAAGCACACAAATATCCAATCTGCCGGAACAAAATGGGTGTTGCTTTTCTCTCCAAACTATCTTTAATGAAGGTGGCAATCAGCATTCAATGACCAAACTGTAGGACGGGCTATGAATTTACTGTTTTGGTACTGTACCCAGTAAAAAGCAAAGGTTGCCTACAGGTAAAATTCAGGTATTTTACCTGCAAGAACCAAATGGGCAAGAACAAAATGTAATTGTTTAAGTTAGATGTCTTTTGTTTGTTTGTTTGGAGGCAGGGTCTCACATTGTCACCCAGGCTGGAGTGCAGTGGTATGATCACAGCTCACTGCCGCTTCCACCTCCCGGGCTCAGGTGATTCTCCCACCTCAGTTTCTCGAGTAGCTGAGACTTCAGGCATGCACTACCATGCCCAGCTAATTTTTTTTTTTTTTTTTTTTTTTTAGTAGAGACAGGGTTTCACTATGTTGGCCAGGATGATCTCAATCTCCTGGCCTCGTGATCTGCCCATCTTGGCCTCCCAAAGTGCTGAGATTACAGGCATGAGCCACCATGCCCAGCCTTTAATTTTTCATATTTTTTGTAGAGATGGGGTTTCGCCATAATGCCCAGATTGATCTCAAACTCCTGGGTTCAAGCGATTCTCCCACCTCGGCCTCCCAAAGTGCTGGGATTACCGGTAAGAGCCACTGTACCCAGCCAAATTAGTTCTTAAAAACAAGTTAGCAGTAAGATAATTTGACTGCATATAAAATGTAAATTTTTATACTTTTAAGGTACTCACTTATAAATAAATCCTTTTGGTTTGTGTTTTCTGGTTTTTATTAGACACCTAATATATTACTTAGTTTTTAAATTATGAACTTATACTGAAATAGAATCATTTGATGTTGTATCTTAAACCTCATTAATTTTTTTTGCTTTTAATTCCAAGACCTTATTGTGGCCAGTTTGGATTTGTTGCCGTTGGTTGGGTGGTCGGTATATAGTTGTGGAGGGAAAAGGTAGTAAAGTGTATTAACCTGAAAGAGATTTGAAGTTTTTTAAGAAGGGATAACTTTCGGAGACTTAAGACTAACTTCTGACTCAAACAGTGGGGGTAATTTCTGATTTCAAAATTTGAAGAACGCTTGATTGACTCATAAAGACTTTTTGGAGCAGCCCGTTAATGTGAGATTTAGCAAAATTTGATTTATTTATTGGGCTTTAGAGTCTTAGCTTAACATCCATTGAGCAGCTCCTGTGTGCCAAGTGCTGAGAGTCATTAAAATGATTAAGTTGCAGCCCCCGTCCCAAAGGAGGAATGGTTACATGGAGAGACCCGGCGTAAGAGCTCTGCCACGAGAGGGCTAGAGCCAGAACGCACCGGCAGGGCGCCCCGGAGAGCAGGGGCTGGTGATGCCAGGGAGTAGAAGGAACCCAGGAGGGCTGTGCCCTGGGCTACTTTGCTCACTTGGATGGGGTGGGATGCACTGTCCTTCCTGTTTAGGGAGGAGGGGTCTTTCCCACTGAAGGAAAAATAACTTACCCAAGATCACACATCCTGGAAGCTTTGGAGCCAGAGTCCAAACCCAAATGGTTGGGTCGTTTTGTTTTGAATCTTTTTTAAAAAATCACTTTAAAATAGGAATGTTGGCTGCTTGAAGAACATTTTGCTTCGGGATTACAATAGCGTTTTTTCCCCAATGCCTTATTTATTTGGTTCGGTGGCCTCTTTTTATGTAACAGTTTTGTACCTTGGTCTCATTTCTTAATCATTTTACAAATATTTATTGATCCATACCGCATACCAGGCAGGGTTCTAACGTGGATATAAGCAGGGGCTATGGCCCGGCTTTCCCAGTTTACCACCCACTGGGGTGGGGACCAAGTGAACAAGAATAAAATGACCATCTAACTGATTTGTTGTCACGATCGCTCTGACCATTATTGTCTACCAAGTAGTCTGAAGTTTGCGATTAAAGTGGCGAATTTGCAAATCCTAAAAAGTTCAAGTGTGAAAGGGACATATTTTTGAGACTTAGTGTAAGCCCTTCTGTCTGTGGAAGAAGAGTCACCCAGAACTTGACGGCTGTGAATTCAGCTGGTGATGTAACTCCTCACTCTCAGCTCTGTCCAGGAGAACTGCTGCTGTGATGGCAATGTCCTGTGCTGTCTCTGCAGCAGCCACTGCCAGCAGTGACTGCTGAGCACTTAAGATGTAGAGCTGAGAAAGTGAATTTTTAACTTTAGTTATTGGAAATTTAAGTAGACACACGTGTCTAGTGGCTACGATATTGGACGGCACAGTTCTAGACTGGAATTGTTAAACTTTTTTTTGGAAAAGGGCCAGATTGTAAATAGTGTTGGCTTTGCGGGTGAAAGCAGCCATAGACAGTTAATGAATAGGCCTAACTGGTCGAGTGAAGCTTTATTTACAAACAGGCGACAGGGTGCATTTGGCCCATGGGCCATAGTTCACCAACCCTGTACTAGACTGTTCTTTGACTTTTTGAATTGCCTGCTAAGGATAGTAAAGCATGTTTCCTTGCAGACCTTCAGTCTATTGACTCCTCCCCATGCTGGGAAGCTGTACCAGCCCTGATGCTGTGAGGCGTGGTGGGCAGGCCTGCTTCCCACCCTCCAGAGCACGCTGACTTCAGCCAGGTTTAGACAGTAGGCAGTGACAGCCAAGCCAGAAAGATGGTAATGGTCAAAGAGGAAGCACACAGTTTTGGGCCTCTTCCAGCTGGCCTTTATTCTGGGCTTCAAGAATATTATTAACTGCTGTCATCATTAGCAAACTTATCCAGTGGATGAGGCTGTCTTTGAAAGACTCAGAAGTTGCTCCAGCCTGGTGAGACGTTGGAGAATAAGTCATTCTTTTGATGTAAACCCATTTTTTCTTGGGAAATGGAGGTCCAGTGGAAAAGTTTATTTTCTCACAAGTACTTCCTGAGTCACCAATTCGTTGAAGGTATTCACGTTTCCAATAAAAATTCACTTAAAAACAGCAAGAAGCGAGCATAGCTTCCTTGCTTTGAAACCCCATGGCTTTCATTTCCTGCTGCACTAAATCTGGTGGCTTAACCTACATTAATAATAATAATAACAATAGCCATACATAATGTACACAGGTTGCTAAATTAGTAACACACCTGCATGGTGTGAAGTCGTGCTAGTGAGAATGGGCACCCCCTGTTATCTTTATTCCCCAAAATGAGGAAGGAAAACTGTTTGAGTGATAACTAAAAAGATTCTTCAAATGATTAAGCCGGTGATTCTCTGAATAGTGCCTCAGCTCAAAATTTATACTTCACAAACATCTATTTACTGTGTAACTGTAGCTCTCTGCAAGGTGACTTTATAGAAACACACCCTTAACCTTACCGAATCCTATTCTGTATCCAATCCTGTGTCCTATATGTAAAGTTGTTTCTTCTGTCTCTTGGGGGTGTGGAAGGTAACCAAAGTAACAGATAACTCTCGGAGGGGAAAGAGGGATGGGTAGATTTGTATAAAGTCTGTACACCTTTTTGTTCATTAGTCTTACCATTAAACTTGGGTTTAATGTCTGCTGAGGAGGTTTTGCCTTGCAGCAAAAGCTATCTTCTAAAATTTTTTTATGAAAGTATGTAGAGGAATAAAAGAAAAATAGAGGTAAGGTTATTAGTCAAGAATAGTGTGTGTGTTTTTAAACCCAGGAAAAGAATAGACAGAAACACAAAGACAGAGTGGTTTGGGGTACATCCTAACTTCTGGTTCCACATCAAAATTGCAAGGTGGTTCTTTTTGGATCCCATTCACTTTGTGACAAGCTTTTATGAACACTCGTGCTTCTTTCTCCCAGCACTGCTGCCTGTCAAGTGAGCAGGACAGTCCTAGTATTTCTCCTCCCCAAGGTCACCCGGCCTAGAGGGCCCAGTCCAGGGCTGTTGGCAGCAGCAGGTACGTGGTCCCGAGGCTGTTGGTGGCTGTCCCAGAGGAGAAGCACCATGCATTGAGCACCTTCAGTGTGCTGGGTCATGGCAGAAACCCTGTATCTCTGTTCTCTCTTTGAATCTGCCCAGCACTGTGAGGCATTATAATCCTCCCCTACTCACCGCTGCCCCTGCCTTTTTTTTTTTTTTTTTTTTTCCTGGAACAGGAAAAAAAAGGGAGCCTCTTGCCCAGGGCCACAGAGAATGCAGCGAAACAAGATCTGAGCCTCAGTTAGTCTGATAGCAAAGCTCCTGT